GAAACAGAAGTTAAAGTTAAAAAAACAAAGGTACTCGATCCTCTAATTCATATAATGACAATAATAACAAATGATCTAGTGATTGTTAAACTGATTAATTTGTTTATTTTGACAGCTTTCGCGACCAACAGTTTCTGTTAAGTTGCATGAGAGCGAAATCAATGATGATTTAGCTGAAATTGGAAAGGTGATTTGGTTTGATTTGATATATGGAATATTTGACATATCGAATAATTGATTAATATATTTTATTATTATTATTTAAATTAAAAAGAAAAAGAAACGGAATTAAATTGGTGTAACATAATTATCCATTTTAGGAATGATTGTTAATAAAGACAAAAACGTTGTAGTTGTATAGAAATACTTGATATACAAGTATCTAACATTTAATTTTAAGTTGCTGAAAACACATTTATTAAAACATAATTTGTTGGAAAGTATGAGATCAAAAAACAAGGTGAATGTTGTTAAAAAAATTTATTATTTTTTTTTTTCTTGTGTTGGTAGATTATCATCAAAATTCGAGAATATGACGTTACATGGATTTTATTCTTTTTTTTTACAAACATCGTTTATGAATATTTTTAACATGTTGCATGTAGAATTGAATTAATGCAATAAAACATTAAATTTTACAAAAAAGGAAAAAAATTAAAAATTAAAAAAAACCAATTCCATAAAAATCTATATTTCAGGATTGTTCACAGAATATTCATTTGTGTCCATTGTTGTAAGCAGTAGCTGAAAAAAAAATTTCAAAAAATCCAAGTCGTTCATTAACAGAGGCAGCATCACCAACATTGGTTGTAAAAACAAAATTGGGTTTTTTTTAAATAAAAGCCTTTATCATTAATGAATTATACCTGATAAATAGACAACTGGCATTCAATACTAAATTTTCTCTTGTGTAATTATATATGTAATTATTACTATTATTGTTATTTAATAATTTTTATTAGCAAAGTAATCTATTTTTTTAAAAAAGATGTTAATTACCACATGTATATAAATTAATGTATAATAATCTATTTAGAAAACGATTTTCTAACAGATACAATCGAGTTTTCTTCATAATGTCACTAATTGGTTTTTGAATTCAAGAAAAATGGGTAACGATCCATTTCATCTTGCCAGGCCAATTAAAAATTTATCAAATAAGTTTTTATCATATAAAATGTTGCTTGGTTGAAGATTCCCCAAAACAAAATTATTTTCATGTATATAGGTGGGTGTCTTGCACTATTACTTCCCGTGTTACAAATTTTTGTCAAATTTGGCAATAAAATTGATTAACAGTCGATTTTATCAAATTTAGCAATTGGATAATTCTCTTAATACATTGCACAAGTCTAGGTATTTATGTGCATAATAATAAATAAAAAAAAGCACGAATGTGTGGCGACTTTCATTCATTTAGATGATAATAATAAAGTATTTATCCTCATCAATGACAAATATTAATATCAATTAATTTAATTCAATTAATTAATTTCAATTATTCTCAATCCACACACATTGATATGATGGCAGTAACTTTCATTAAAAGTTTTAATGGAAGCACAATTTCAGATCGGTTCTTGACCCTATGGGATTATCTTAAAGATGAGTTGACAGCATCAGATTTTGATACTTTACAAGAACTTAAAAGGGAAAGAGTAACCAACTTTTTGGCCATACCTTTTGCTATCGAAAAGGTAACGTTGGGATTAAAAAGTAAATGAGCGAATAAAATGAACGTTGTAATTAAATTATTAAAATTTTGATCATTTAATTATTTTAGATAATGTGGTTTGGTTTCTTTATTTGCTTTGATTCATTTCTTTACACTTTTACGATATTGCCTTTAAGAATATTATTGGCTTTATATTTAATCTTTAAAAACTTGATATATTTCAACAACAACAACAACAACGATAATAATAAGATTAATAGCAGAAGTGGAGAAATATCAAAGTAATTCATTATTTAGTTATTTAATTTTTCTAATAAATTTGATTAATAATTTAATTAATAATTAATTTATATCCATATTTCAATTCTTTCATTGATGATTGGTTCATCTTTGTTAGACAATTCAATATAATTAATTCATCTCAGAAATGCGATCTTCTCAAAGGATTATTGATAATACTCGTGTGCATAGCATTACAAGGGATTGATTCTGCTCAAATGTATCATTCAATCCGTGGTCAATCAGTCATTAAATTATACGTGATATTTAATGCTCTTGAAGTAAGCTCGTGAGATGATAATATTAATAATTAATGAGATTGCCAATAATTTTCTAATTATATTAATTAATTGATTGATTTAAATTATTCAAATGAATACTTGATAGATACTTGATAGATTATGTTGCTCGTTTGGTGGAGATATTCTTGAATCTTTATTTTCTAAATCTACTCTTGGTTATGATATAAAGATTAAATATAACAATCGTCATCATCTAAGGCCAATTACTTTCTTTATTTTGGCTTTCCTATATATACGTATCCTTTTTTAATATTTATTTTTTTAATGGTATGATTTTTAAATTTTTCAATTATATATTCTATTATAAAAAAATCCTTAATTCGCATATAAAAAATTGCAAATAAAAAGTAATCCATACGACAATATTATTTTATCAAGCAATTACACTTAACGTGGCAATCAATTCCTATTCAAATGCTTTACTGACATTATTATTGTCAAATCAATTCATCGAAATTAAAGGATCAGTATTTAAAAGATTTGAAAAAGAAAATTTGTTCCAACTAAGTTGTGCTGGTAAACTATTACATTATAATATGAAATTTCAGAAAGATATTGCATATATATTAATAGATATAGATGGTTTTCCACCAACATATAAATATTTACTTATTTGCATAAACTTTTATTCTACATCTAATAGATATAGTAGAACGTTTTCAACTAGCGTTATTTTTATCAGTAATCACAATTCGTAATCTAATCGAATTGTCAGGTTCACCTCCATCACCTTTTTCAATTTTGCCATCTTCATTCATCCCACTATTTCCAAAAATGACAACTCTCGAAACACTATTGACTCCAGTATTTTTTGTTTTTGCATCTGAAATATGTGTTGATTGGCTTAAGCATGCATTCATCACTAAATTTAATCATATAAGACCAAGTGTTTATGAAACTTTTATTGATGTATTATCAAAAGACTTGGTGGTTGGTAATCCAACTAGACTTCCTCCTGGTGGAGTCAATGACCTCGATAAATCAGTTAAGTATTAAATTTGGAATGGAATCAGAGATTATTCCAAGTTCTTTTGAAAATTAACTCCCTATCACAAAAAAAATTAATTTTTCTTATTAGACATTTGTTGATCAATCACCCATGGTTTCACGTAGAATTGGTTTTGCTGCAATACCGTTAGCATGTCTTGTAATTATAGATATTATTATTATAATTATTTTTCCTTGTGAAAAAAAAAATTTTTTTTTACTAATGAAATATAATTTACTATTATCATTAGACAATTCGTGTATCAATACAAACTGTGACAATGATTTTTGATTTGATACTTGAAATAGAAGAAGATTCACAAAGTAGCCGTAATCCGATGGCCAATGTTGCCTCATTACCTAGTGCGGTATGGATTTTATATGGTATCATATTATTTATTGTGTAGGTAATCTTACTACAATTATTATTATTATTATTATTATTTGTGAATTATATAGGTTTAGAAAAATTAATTGCGAATTTTTGTTTTGCTAGTATGATATTTATAAAATTGCTAGTTGGTATAAATCTACTTTGTTTTGCTTCTAAAAGATATTCAAAAATGGAAAAACGTAATCTTGAAGATCTTGCTAATGCTCAAAAACTTGAAGAAATTAACAATTTAGAACAAGATCAAGTGGTAATTATTATTATTATGTTTATTTATTATTAATATGTTTCTCTCTTTATCACAATTAATTAATTAATTTTAATTTTAATTAAATTTTTGTAATTTATTCAGAAAATAAAAAATAAGTTACTTGATGACACAAGGGATAATTTATTGGGGAAAGAAAAACCCAATATCACATTGGAAACTATTGATCGATATACACTATTCAAAAGTCGAATTCCTTAATATTATATAGATTATAATGGTAATTATATATAGTTGAGATGGTTGGTAGTAATGTTGTTATCATTAAAATGATTATTAGAGAATTTTTTTTAAATTAATTATTAATTAAAGACCGTTCTACAAAATAATTTTTTTAACACCCCAATTACTAAAGTAAATATTCTAATTTTTTTCGAAATAACATCATTATTTTTCTTTACTGCTACTTCTTCCAATAAATGAGCCATTTTCTCCATTTTCTCCTCTTAATCACTTATAAACTTCTAACTGTTCTAGTGAGTCATATTATACCATCTGGATGAAACTCGAGTAACTGCTAATATTGTCTATATAACAAATTTTTCTCTGAAATATTTTTTTAGGCATCCAGATCATCTCCAGTAGGATTGTAAGTTTTCTTTATTAATAGCTATAAACTTTTTTTGCTCTAGTTGATGGTATGATCCCCAAAAGTCTATCGTTTAATTATTCTTGTGAAATTTCTGAGATCATGATGTATTGCAGACAAGAATGAAACTTTTAAGGAACTGATTTTGAAACAATAATGTGTCTATGTTTCTAAATACATACATAGTCTGTAATTTTTATACCATGGTAGCGAGGGTCCATTTCTTATCAGAGACGCCATTTTTGGTCTGATCGTTACATATTCGTAGATCCACCACAAAAATTTCCTACGCTTAGAGTTTTATTCGTAATAAAACTCAATCTTAATGTTAAAACACCTTTGTGGTCGGAATTAAACCGTAGAATTTAAATTGTCGATTTGTTATCAGAGCGGTATAGAACTCTGGAGGTCCGGCATTAATGTTAATGTTGATTAACCAGTGTAGTGTTAACAACAGGCAGTAAAGTTTTTTCTTAGTATAGAAGTAAAGGTTTAAACTGGGTAAAATCAAAATTAGCCATTGTAGATCATAGTAGATTCGTGTTACGTATACTCTACCCTTAAGTTGATATCATATTATCGATGATGTCATAATGCTGATGATGTCATGATGTCGACAATGTTGGGGATCATTAATAATAAATATTGCAAAATTCGTTTTTTTTTTACTTTTAAAAATATTTTTTTGCTTCTTTGTAGTAAATATGGCTGCAGCACCATCATATGCAGAAGTTTTGAAAAAAGATACCGATATTGATAATAAAGAACATGATAATAGTGAAACAGAAGCTAATTCCACCTTCCACAACACCTCCAGTTATTCTTACAAACCTAGTGCTTCTAAAGGTATAATAACAATAAGCAGTGGTGGAATAGATGACAACTATACATCTAGAGGAGGAAGTGATAAAAAATCAAAAAAATTATCAAAAAAAACAATTATTCTAAGCGCTACGTTAGATATCGCTTTAGCTGGAATGCTGATTGGCTGGATTTATAAGAAACCTACTGCTACTAAAATTCAAATTGGTGTTGGATCAATTGGCTTATTATCATTATACGGCGCTCAATGGTAATCTTGATTGATTATTTTAATTATTGTTATAATAATAATTGTTATTAACTAATATTCATATTTCAAATTTACTTTTAGGATTACATATAAAAAATATAAATATTAAATTATTTTATTATTTCCCCAATCTTTTCAATTATTTTAAACCATACTTCATTAATTACTTTACATATGTCTTCACCCCCAAAGAATGTTATTCTTTTTTAACAAATCGATAATAATTAATAAATAATAATATTTAATAAATAATATTTAATAAAAGAAATAAATTACAGTTACGGTCATATAAAAACTTCTCTACATGCAAACATTACTATTATACAAAATACCTCTAATACTAAGAACGACCTCCCCATAATAATAATAACAACGTTTTTGGAAAAAGTTATTATTACTATCTCGACACTGGAGAATCAACTAATTGATAATTCGATATTTTTTTGATCCACTAAGCTTTTTTCAATAAAAAAATGTACATAGAAACGACTTTTAAGAATATTATCTTGTAAACCAACGCCCCATTGAAGTTGTACCGTGCTCGTAATTTTGTGTACATCACTACCACTAAGTCAGCAATAATACTCCAAAACAAATGTTATGTGCTATTAACAGCATATATACCTGATTTTTTGCTTTTAAATTGGTTAGCCTTTCAGTATTAGTAGATTCCACTATAAAAAATTACTGATACTAATGATTAAATCGTAATTTTGATTATTTATTATTTTAATACACTCTTTAAACCAAAAGAATTATGACCTCTGTTCTTGATCAAATTAAACAATACACTAAAGTTGTTGCTGACACTGATTATTTTGAATGTAGGAGTTTTTTCAATAAATTAATAAATTCTTCAACCAACACCTATCATAATTTTTTTATCAATCAATCCTATTTATACAAGAACGATCGCCAAGTATAAGCCTCAAGATGCAACAACAAACCTTTCTTTGATTTTACAAGTCACACAAAAACCTAATTATGCTCATCTGGTTGATTCAGCTATTAAATATGCTAAAAGCAAAAATGGGTAATTAATTTGTTACACGCAAGACCATTCATTTCATAATATACTCACATATCTATTATATAGATCAATTGATGAAAAAGTTGAATTAGCAACTGATAAATTGGTAAAATTGGAGAATACTTATAATATCTTAATATAAATATATATATCACTCAAACAAATACATAATTATAGTTGATTAGTTTTGATAATGAAATTCTTAAAATTATTCCTGGGAGAGTTTCAACTGAAGCAGATGCAATTTTATCATTTGACACTGAAGGGACTGTTGCTAAAGCTAACCATTTGATTGGACTTTATGAGGAAGCTGATATTGGTAAGGAAAGAATATTAATCAAGATTGCTTCTACTTGGGAAGGCATTAAAGCTTGCTTAATACTTGAGAAAGAAAGAATCCATTGTAATCTCACTTTACTTTCTCTTTCCCTCAGGTTATTATTATATTCTTTTCCCCCCAAAAAAATTTTAATTGGATATTTTGCTAATTAATTAATACTTATAATTGTTTATCTATGTTCATTCATTCGTTCTTACATATTCGTTTGTTTTCTTGCTCCATGTTTCTCTTCCTCTCATATATAATAGGCAGTTGTATGTGCTGAGGCAGGCATAACTTTGGTTTCACCATTTGTTGGTCGTATTCTTGATTGGTATAAGAAAAATACAGGACGAGATTTTTCAGCCAAAGAAGATCCAGGTGTAAAATCTGTCACTAAAATTTATTATTATTATAAAAAGCATAGTTATAAAATTATTGTTATGGGTGCTTCATTCTGTAACACAGGGGAAGGCAAAGAATTAGCTGGTTGTGATCTTTTGATTATTAGTCCAAAATTGTTAGAACAATTACATTCTGATACTAAAAAAACCATTAAATGTAATCTAAGTCCTGAAAATGGTAAGTTATTTGCGTTTATGTGTAAAATATTTGTGGTAATAGGTATATACATAATGCATGTATATTATGCATGTATACTATTTATATACGTCAAATATATGCACTTTCACAACAAATTGTTAATCATGGTTTATAATTAGTTAAAACATCGTACGAAGAAAAAGTTACCTTTGATGAAAAAGGTTTCAGATGGGCACTTAATGAAGATGCTATGGCTACAGAAAAACTTGCTGAAGATATTTGAAATTTTGCAAGCGATGCTGCAAAATTAAAGACTCACTTGAGAGAGCTTTTATCTGCTTGATTCTTTTTCTTTTTCCATCACACGCATCTACATATATTGTGAGTATGAATAATAATTGAATTAAAAAAGAATAATGACGATGACGATATTAATGATGGTAATTAGTTATATTTTGCCAAATATTCCAGCAAAAGTACATCCAATACTACTTGGGTATCTTGATCCAAGCAAGATTTCAGATGATCTATAATACAATGTTATATTCACAAAATCAAATGCTTTTATCAACAAAAAAATTATCTAATATATCGATCTAATATACTTCATGTATAATGTTTAACTGGAATACAGGTTGCGCCAAAATCAGCCATTTTCCAGCTGCTATCTCTTTTCCTGTAAAAAACACCATACATTCCTTTAAAAATCAAATTTGGTAACTATTTACTCCTGATCATAGTGTAATTTCTTGCCCTCACCAAGTTTTCTAATTTCAAATAAAGTTCAGACATGTTGTTATGATTTTTTTTTATTTAGAATAAAGTTATTGTTATATTAAAAGTTTTTTTTATAAACCGATACATCAATTATAAAGACAGCAAAAGTATAAATAAATATTCATTTTATTATTTTTCTAAAGAATGCAGAAATATGTTTCATCTTTCACTATGCATCAATATTGCAATTATTTAATAATGATGATGTTTCTTTGATTTGGCATCAAAATTTCTATCTTTCCAATTACTTTTTCTCAATTTAATTGGTCTGTTTCCAACATATTTACCTTGGTTAATTAATAGAAATTTAAATAAATTAGTGTCCAATTATTACTATTGTCGTTATTTACAAATAAAAAATCTCTACGACCAGCGAAACCTTTCCCATGATAATATATATATTAAACCCACCATTCATTTCTTTCTATGCTTTGACAAATTCATCCGCATCTTTAAACTAACAAATCCATATCCTTTGCTCTTACCCGTTCTTTTGTCTCGAATCACTTTGGTTTTTTGGATTGATAAATATTTACTGAATGCTTTGTAAAGCATATCATCTGTTACCTCATTACCAAGATCTCCGCAAAATAATCTAAAATTATCTATTATAATTATATCCAAGATTGAATATGTTATTAGTAATGAATGATATTATTATATTTTACAATTTGTAATTTTAGTGATTTTAGTATATTCTTGCAAATGTGTAAAAAAAATTACTTACCAGAATCCCATTCTAACAATGTAGAATCCTCCCAAACTTCTCCTCCTGCTGCTCTAACTATTGTTTTTTGTTTCTTTTTGGAATTCGGGTTTTTATCACCACCACCACTATTATTATTAACACTAACAGATCGCCGGCTAAGAACTTAATAAATCCCAGTTGACGAAAAACCTTTTCAGATGGTACTAAGCTTGCCGGTATTATTGTTATTTATTACTACTACTACTATCGTTATTATTATTACTATTATTTACTACTGTTATTATAATATCTCGCCTTTAATGTTTCAAATTATTTATTTTATTCGTTATGAATTTGAGTATTCGAATTACATTGAGTTTTATTCGAATAAACGAATAAAACGAATAATTCGAATAGAACGAATAATAATAATTCGAATTAAAATAAGAATTTGTATTACGAATGACTTTTATCCTGCTATGATGTATTATATTTTGTTTTTTGAGTAAATGTATGTTTTTTTGTCATACTAAGTAATGTAGTTGGATCCATCTAAACTAAATGTTTATGCCATTGAAAATTCCAGACGTAAAAATGAATGTCAAGAGAAATTTTTTTTAGTCGGCTAAGCCGATAAATTTCTTAGCCGGCTAACATCACTACGTGAAATACAAAAATTGCAAACAAAATTCGTGTAACTAAATGGCTTAAATGTATGATGTATTCGACAAAACTCATTAACAGTGGATGGGTATATTATGTTTGGTAAAAAATAATAATGTTAATCAATTAGTAATGAATGGTAAACTTACAGAATTATATATATGTTTGATTGATTAATTATTTACATATTTTGTTATGATTACCGGTCTCTCTCTCATAAAGTAACGAATGAACCAAATCACACATTCCCTATATTTGTAGCTTTAGTATGGTCATTATGATTGTGATATGTTGCGGTATTTATACTTGGATCCTGATCATTTAGAAATTTTTATGGCATAATAAATAATACAAAAATTTTTATTGCATCAAGAACTTTTAATATTATTACATTAATAGCAATTTTGGAACTAATAAAAAAATTGAATAATAATTTTACCATTCTAATGATTTCAAAAAGAAAGTCATAATTAGATTTTTGTGAATTTTCTTAATATATTAATTACATTTGATTAATTTAATCATTATTAGAAAACTTTTCTATCTATCTATTACTTTCAAAATTATTTAATTTTCAGGTAATAATATTTTATTATATTAGAATTTATTCATGATCATTGATGGTTTCATATTTGTGTAAACTTAGATTATTCGAACTATCGATACTTCTAACTTTAATTTGTCTAATTTGTTACAAAGTCAATCAATCTCGTTCCTTTTCAGTTGTAAATAATCAGTTGTTAAATGAAAAGAATTATTTATATCTTGGTTTGATTTTTGTCGTGCTAATTGATGGTAATGGAAAGCCTTTTGACATTGTTATTGACTTGTTTATTAAATCAAATCTTTTGATTTATTATATCTATTAATGATATTAATAAAAAATTTGATGAATTAGATGAATTATGAATTATTTAATAGTAAAAAAGTACTTTTATTTAATATATAAAAAAAAAAGAATTTACCTAAAATTCTTCACAATTTTAATTTTTTTTATAATAATTTTTTTAGATATACAAATTTTATCAACCCAGATGAGTTTATTCGTTATAAAGCAATACCCTTCACCCCATCATTTTAATCGTCAAGTCGATAATGTTATTATAAATAAATAAATAAATAAATAAATAAATAAATTTTCTCTATCAAATATAAAAAGATACATATCAATGTTATACATTTATTATTCCTTTTTCTATATATATTTAAAAGCAAATCCATTCAAGGAGAGAGGTAAGGGAGAAAAATAATAATAGTACGATTATGTGACATTAAAAAAAAAAAAATCTATCTATCTAATTATGTAAAATCCTTGCAAGTTCTTGTTTTTGATGATCAGTTAATTTAGTAGGAAATTTAACATCATATTTTATTACTAAATCACCTTTTTTAGTCTGTTCTTTTGTTGGCATACCTTCATTTGCAAAAATTTGTTCATAACCAGGTCTTATAACAGCGTTATAATTAGATATCGCCAAATTTCTATTATCTAAGGTATTTATGGTTTTCTTAAAACCGGTAAGAGCCTCAAGTAAAGTTAAAGTGACTGTTATTAGTAAATTGTCACCATTTCTTGTGAATAGCGGATGAGGTTTTTCTTCTAAAATTACAACAATATCTTGTGTTTCACCAGTTGGTAATTCATCACCTGATTTGGGAAACCTGAATTTTGTACCGGCTTTCAAACCAGGTCTTACATTCATTTCCAAAATTTTGTCAGTAAGTGTTTGTTTACCAGTTGCGCCGACAATTGTTTTTCGAGAGACTTTGAGTTTTTTAGCAGTACCTTTATATATTTCTTCGAGTGTTAATGATAATGTATGTTTAACTTCTAATGTTCCTGTACCATTGCCATGTGATCTTTTATTACCATCAGGTCTTGAGCCACCTACATCAAATTCAGGTCCAAATCCTGCAAAATCATTACCGAATGAAGACTGAAAGAATTGACTAAAAATATGATTTGGATCGGATGGTTTAAATCCATTAAATCCGTCAGATCCTATATTAAATTGATAGATAAATGAATCATTGATTAAATATAAAAAATAGTCATCAAACAATTAAATTTATTTACCCGAAGTGAATGTTGTATATGATGTTCTACCGCCTGGAAATCCACCTGGAAATCCACCTGGGAAACTACCTGGAAAACTACCTGGAAATCCACCTGGAAATCCTCCAGTGAATCCACTACCGTCTGATGATGACGATGATGATGACGGCGGTGGTGCGCCTTTCAATCCTTCTTCGCCATATATATCATAAATCTCTCTTTTTTGTTTATCACTTAATACTTCATAAGCTTCGCTGATTTCCTTGAACTTTTTTTCTGCTTGTTCTTTATTACTTTGATGTCTGTCTGGATGCCATTTAAGAGCTATTTTATGAAATTAATATAAATAAATGATAAGAGCGAAAGACATTTATTTGCAAATATTTTCAATATTTACCTAATTTTTTATAGGCTTTTTTAATAGCTTCTTCGTCAGCGTTCTTATCAACTTCTAAAATTTGATAATAGTTTTTTCCCATTATTGTTGAATATTTATAATCTTGCGTTTTGTTATTATTTTGTGTTGAAGGGCAAAGAATTAATAAGTTATTTACTTCAATTGATGACCATGTGAAAAAAAAGAAAACCACCTTGATAAAAAATACTAGTATTAATAAATGTTGTTTCTTTCGCGATAAAAAAAAATTTAATTTAATATTAAACTATGAAGTAATTTTACTAGAACATTCCATGAATATTTAATCACGTGCACGCACAAAAATTCTGCATTTAAAATATAGATTACACGTGACTAGAAAATTTAACATTTGAAATTATATATACATAATAACTTCACAAAAAAAGGTTAGTCCGAAAAATAATATCAGTAACCAGAGAAAAAATTTGGATAGAGAGATGCAATGAGGTGATAAAGTGGGAGAAGGAAATAGGAATAGAAAAAAATATGAAGTATAAAACAAAAATAATTAATAACACAGGTACTAGTGATGGTATTGATGATCATAAAAATATCAATAATAGTAATAATAAAAATAATGTTGAAAATACTAGTAATCAAAGTGTAAATAATATCAACAAATTAAGTATTAGTATAATAAAAAATTATATAGAAAAGGGGATGAGTATGGAGGGTAGTTGTGGGGTTTTCTTGGGACATTAGGTCTGGACCACCCCCATGTATATTATACGTGTGGTTGGGGTGTTACACATCAGTATAAACACAAACATAGTTGAGCACACTTATAAAAAACTACAGTCCGGGTTCTTTCCAAATTTAGGTATAGAAATTTGCGCCTCTTTGTCGATCAATTCATATATTTTTCATATGTTACAAATGAGTTAACGTGATACTTTGTGCTTGTTGAAAAAAAATTTTTTTTAAAAAAATTACTATTATAATTATTTAAATAAATACTACAATATTTTCTCTTCCATAATCTGTTAAAAATCTATAAAAATCTATTGTTTTCCTCAAAGTATACTTTGTTTAAAATTCAAGAAATTCTGTAACAGAAGTTCAAATGATTTGGTTTTTTACTCAATTTACTAACTTATTTATTTTATTTTTTAATTTTAGTGAATAAAATGCTCGCTAGTGACTTACCTTGTTTACTTGTTCAAAAATATCAAATTGAAACCATGTGATGATACTAATAGTGATGATAGATGAGCATCAGGAAATAAAGCAAGCAAATGAGCATGTAAAAATATTTGATAATTATTCAATCTGTGTTATCAAATTGTTACTTCTAATTTTCTTGAAAAATTAAAAGCAGAGGACAATCCTTCAAGAGAAAGCCAACGGAAATGACTTAAATAACTATTGATGAAGATGCAGAAGAACACTGTAAACGTAATTCTTGGTTTATTTCAATATGGAACTCAAATACAATTTTTTTTACATAATAATAATAAATGCAATAGTTAAGTTCTAATTTCCAACCTTTAAATGTTTATTACATATTTTGTTTATAGAAAAGTATTAACTTCAAATTTGCTTTTTAAAGATTATTTTCATAATAATAATAAACATTTTACCTA